CCCGCCCCATGGCTGGGGGCTCCCAGCAGACAGGTGGGTGCTGCGGGGCAGGCCTCCTGCCCAGCCCGTGCCCTTGCACTGTCCCTGATGCTGCTGTGGGCTTGGTTATGCCGCCAGTTCGGGGCACATGGCAAGGTCCCCCTAAGCTGAAGAAATTCCCAGTGTTTTCTCAGCGTTTCTCCTATTCACAACCTGCTGTGTGCTTCCTCTTTCCTTTTGAGGCCAACCCAGAGACAAACTCTCCTACCGCAGTAAGGACAGTACATGGTCTTCGCCTTGCACAAACCCTCCTCCCCAAACAGCATCGTGGGTCCTGGATACACCTCGGAGCGGAGAGGGGGAGAGAAGAAGGGAGCTGTGGCCATCAGCCACCCACCCCTACAGCTCTTTTACGGCTGGGACCCACTTCCAGCCGTTGCAGCCAGTGCCATGGCGGGAGAGGCCGATAATCAACGGAGTGTGTTGGAGCTGATGGCTGTGTTTGAAGAGCACTGGTAAGGAGGGAGCGTCCTGTGCACTGTGGGTGCATTAGGGCTCCACAGGGTGTGGGTTTTGGAAAGAAGAAACCCACTGTGAAGGTGGTTTGGAGGCTGTGTAGAAGCTGACTAGGCAATTTGCTATTCTTTAACACTCAGATCTACCCTGGTGTCTTCCTCCTGCTGCTGTGGGGTCATGGACAGAGGTCTGAAAACCTCAGGGGGATGTGACTGACTTTGCTGGAGGTTTCTGTGCCTGGCTCAGGGTTAGGCTGTGGGATGCTTGTTCCTTGTGCGCTCAGCACCTTTGCAGTCTGCCTGGCTGGTGAATGCTTTTTCCCCTGCTGCTGGGGAAAAGGAGTTTGGTTTGCAAATAGGTAGGCAGGGGTCTTCACTGGGAATTAACTGCTTGAGTATCTGGGAGGATCCGAGCCTCAGGCATGAGCCTCAGATTATCCAGTTGTTTGCAGTGCTGTGGCTCCTAGGAAAGGGAAGAGAAAGAGTCATGTTAAGGGGGAGAGCATGTTCCTTTTGGGCTGCATGGCAGCCCCATAAAACAGCTCCTGCACTTGGAGCATGAGCTGGGACCTGCAGACAGTGTGTGTCAGGGCCGGAGCGAGGGGATCTGCCTTGCCCTGGGTGTAGAAGTCATTCTGAGGTTTGGGGTGAGTCATGGTTGTGGTTTGTGCCTCAGTTTCCCCACCTGTTGAATTGGGATACCAAATCTTGCCTTTCCTTGTATCAGTAAGGTGCTCTCAGTGAGCCTCGATGAGGCTGGGTGGTTGGGCAGACGAGTTTTGCAGCACCTCCTAAAGACACAGGCACAAGATTTCCTTCTGCTCCAGGAGCTTCGCCTGCATCTCCACTGCGTGCTTTGCTCCAGGCTTTGTGCTCATGGTCCCACAGCTGAAATTTGTCCTGTGGTGTTGTTGTGTTGGAACTGTTTGTGGTGTTTGGTCGGACTCCATTTCATTGCTTGCAGTGTGTTTGTTGTTTATCGTGAAGCGTGAGTTTGATTTAGAGGAAACAAAAGTAACTTCATGACTTTCAGAGGAAGCTGGGGGACGTGGAAGCAAGTTTTCTGGAACAGAAAACAGTTTAGCCCAAGTCAGCGCATATTAGAAAGAGAGAAGTTCCCTGTTGAATGTCAGCAGTGGGTTTAGGCTGGCACAGGTCTGGGAGGCATTGGGATGGACAGATAAAACTTCTCTGTCACGTGAAGGGTTACGCCAGCCCCCATGGACAGGAGGGGATGCGTGCATGGCTGTGGATGCACTCCCAAGCTCACAGACATGTTCTTATTAGCATGGGGATGGACCCATAATCCCCTTCAGATGGGTGTCTGCCACTCAAGTCAACTCCTATCCTCAACTTTGCAGTTTTATGTCCAGTTTAATCCCGGTTTTCCCCTCCTCCTCATCCCACTCATATCTGCAGGCCACCGGTGGATGTCTTTCAAGTTTCAGCCCAGAGCAATTTACCACAGGGACCAGCTTTCGGATGACAGACAGCTCACTATCATCTCCATGGCCTGTGTGGCTTCTACCCCATGGCTGCTCTGGACCTGTTTTCCTTGTCTTTGCCAGAAAAGGGAAGAGAGAAAACCACCAAAAAACTACCTCTCTGCAAAACCACCTACACAAGCTCTCCTCTCAGCTGACACCTCTTAGCTTTTAAAGCCTCGTGCCCAAGGCTGCTGGCTCCCTGCTTTTGCTCCGCAGTGGCAGCAGGCAGAAGGCCAGAGCTGTACCAGCATTGCGAAGGGCAGGGCTGTGCTTTGGGAAATAAATGGCTGTGGGTGGATAAACAGCAGAGTCATGCTTTTCTAGAGAAGGACAGGGACTGACCATATCAGCAGGAGGCACTGGGAGGAGAGGGGCTGGGTCCTGGCCCCCTTGGAGGGTGTATGGGCTTTCAGACCCTGGCTGGTATCAGCAGGGTTGTGGCAGAGCAAAGCAGCAACAGCACTGGGGTGCTGCTGTCTCTCATCCCCTTTGCTGGAGCACGGTGGTTTTAACCTGGGCCTGGGAGGTGGGTGGGCCACGCTGTTCTGGGGCAACGGGTGAGCTGATCACACTGATTCCTCCATGGCAGGGCCGGCAAATTTGCCTGGAGGGACGAGCAGGTTCCGCACGGCCAGGCTACTCCTGCAACCAGCCAGCCCCAGCAGCTTCCAGCATCCCCTGCCAGCCAGAGCCTCCCCCAGATGGCTGCCAGGTACCAACCGGAGCAAGAGAATGAGGAGGGACAGCAGGGTCAGCGGGGCCTCAGCTTCAAATGCCTCCGTTCTTTCCGACACAAGATCAGTGAGGACAACTGGAGGAGGCAGCAGGACCCGGGCCTGGAGCCTGGCAGCAAGGTAAGCTCTGGGGGCAGCTCAGGCGAGGCTGGCAGGAGCCCACGCTCAGGCAGGGAGTCGTGTGGGCTGGGTCTGAGCTGAGGTCTGCTGGATCTGAACAAGTCCCTGCCCTGTGAGGGCTGATGCGTGGGGTGACAGGCAAGTGGCACTTTCCCTGATGCTTCGGGCCCAAATTCCCCACAGTCAGATAGATCCAAGCAGACCTTGTCTCTTCCAGCTCTGACATAACTATGCCATGGGGGTCAGTTGCGCAGGTGGGCCAGCCAGGTCCATCCCAAGGCATCCCTGGGGCTGTGCTGCCCTTTGCCAACTGCAGGCATGTTTCTGCAGGATTGAATTCAATTCCTATGTGCAATTGTAGACCTTGGGATTAACCCACCCCACCCTACCCCACTCCTTGGGATCGCTGAGCCCTGTATTGCTCCAAGAGAAACAGACACAGAGAAAGAAGTGACCCAGGAGGACATGAGCCAGGCTTCCTGACAGCCCCAAAACAGCTTTGCTTTCACCTTTGTTTTCCCTGCATGAGTAGAGGTCCTTCCCTTGCCCTCACAAGGAACAAGGTCCAGTTTGATTCTGGGCTGTGGTCTGTGAACACTGGGGAACAGAGCTGAATCCTCTTAGGGAGTCGCGTCTCTGCCCATGAGATTGAGCCCTTCTCCCCATGCAGGAGCCAGAGGAAAAGAAAATCGCTCTGGAGCTGCTGGAGACAGAGCAGGCTTATGTCAACCGCCTCCACCTTCTCGACCAGGTGAGTTGGGGAGCAGAAGGGCACACACAAGTCTGGGAAGCCATAGCCCTGCTGCCATCTGGTGTGCCCCCCCCAGCACAGCTCAGCCACTCCATAGTGATAAACCAGGCAGGACCATGGCATGGCTCCACTCACCAATTTTCATGTGCCCCTCAGCAGGGCTTGGACCCTGTGGCAGTGCCTGGGCTCAGTTCAGGGCATGCACAGGCCAGGGTCTGTTTACTGAAGATTTTGGAGGGTATTAAGCTGTACAGATGAGAGCCATGCTGGGCTGCTGTTCTTCAGGGCTGGAGAATGGGTCTGGCCTTTGCCTTTCCTACATCCCACGCCCCCAGGGAGCATCTTTGTCCCAGCAAAGCCTTCCACCCACCCTGGTTCTCTCTTGGGGCCTGGAATTTGCCTCCTGCACAGAGCCAGGCCTTTCCACTGGGTGATGTGCCAGTGTCAGAGAGGGAATGGGATCCTCAAGCCTCTTCCTGACCCTTTTTATTCACCCCTTCTTTCTTCCAGATATTCTATACAGAGCTGATGAAAGAAGCCAAAAATGGGAAGACAGTCCCAGAGGAGGTGGTGAAAATGATCTTCTCCAACATCTCCTCCATTTACCAGTTCCACGCCAAGTTCTTTCTGCCAGAACTGCAGAAGCGCATGGCGAATTGGTGAGCTGCAGGAGGAGGGGGCAGGACGCCTGGGTTGCTTTGCCAGAATGGGGGAGCAGCGGTGAACTTGGTCTCCCAACAGGACCTGGGAGCTCAGCCTGTTTTGCTCCAAATGTCTTTGTGCTAAAAACCACTTCCTTAAAACTCTTCAGCCCACATCAGGGTATTTCTGAAAAAGGGGGGTGACATCTCGGGTGGTTTAGGGGTGTGCCCAGGTATGAATGGCCCAGGCTGGCTGCAAACTGGGGACATTCCTGTTCTGGATAGCAGGAAGTTGTGTGGGGATATAGCAGGTCACAGCAGTAAAAACCTCTGTCCTCCACCGTGCACAAGCCGCCCCTTCGCTTTATCCCTCGCTGTCTGTCTGCCCTGCTGGACTGAGAAAGCTGCCGCTCTGCGGTTCCCTCCCACAGGAGCTGCAACCCACGGATTGGCGATGTGATCCAGAAGCTTGCACCGTTCCTCAAGATGTACGGCGAATACGTGAAGAACTTTGACAAGGCTGTGGAGCTCATCACTATCTGGTCAGAGAAATCCCCACCCTTCCAGGAGCTCATTGCTGACATCCAGGTAATAGGCCATAGCAGGGTGGGGGACCACAGCAATGCTCCCCAAAATCTCCTCGCATGGGAAAAGCAGCGGAGGGTGGGAGCTGCCTGGGTCATTGTTTCTCTGTGCACGGTGTCTCTCCCCAGAAAAGGAAGGTCTGTGCTAATCTAACGCTGCAGCACCACATGCTGGAACCAGTGCAGAGGATCCCACGCTACGAACTCCTCCTGAAAGATTATGTCCGAAAACTTCCACCCGAGTCCCCAGACCGGGACGATGCAGAGAGTAAGGGCTCCATCTGGCTCTCCCTGCTGTGAGGAGTGGCAGGGTGGGTTTGTAGGGGAAATAACAACCCCTGATGTTGCACATGGGCATCAGGATACCCGGATTCTCTCACCAGCTGCACGTGTACCCTTGGATAAACCCCTCAGTCTGATGCTTTTCTAGCATCTGGGGATTCATCTACCCTTTCAGGGTCTATGGAGGTCAGCAGGGAAGGTGGGTGGTATTTCAGGATAAGGATGGTTCCTCCAGAGCATCCCCCCGGGAGACCTGCACTGACCTGGGGAGCTACCAGACCCCTACGGATCACAGCAGCTCCCAGTCCTGCTGGGATGGAGTGATAAACGAGCCAGCTGTCTGTCCCCCCAGGACCCGACCACGCCACACCGCACAGTCCGGCTGGACCCTGACACTTTCACAGCGTTCAGGGCTGTTCAGGTTGTGTCCAGGGGAGGGCAGCAGCCACCACACGCCTGTCTCCCCGGTGAGGGAGAAACCCAGGGGTTTTCTCCACAGCTCCCTAGCAAGTGTTTAACCTCTACCCTTTCTCTTCTCGTTGCAGAGGCCCTGGAGATGATTTTCATGGTGGCCAAGCACTCAAATGCAGCTATTGCCGAGATGGTGAGTGCCTCCTTCAGCTGGCAGTGCTTTGTGGCTCACGGAGCGGTGATTTGCCAGATTTCCTCATGGCCTCATTGCTTTGTGGCTCAGTGGAGCACAGCCCTGCCCTGAATGGGACAGGAGCACTGTGGGTTCA